CGCCATGATGTGCAGCGCTGGCTGAAGCTGTGCCCTTGCTGGGCACCAGCACCTGCACTGGGCATGAACACCCCAAGTTCCCCTGCCTGCTGCTGCTACTGCTGTTCCATAGGGGGGAGTGCAGGGGACAGGCCCCCACACCCCACAAACTCACACCCTGTCCCCACATATACACAACCCCCAATCTACCCCATGTCCCATCCACACAGTCACACCCCCTCCCACCCTACCATACACACCCCCCCAGAATATACAAGATTAAGAATTTATTTTTAAATTATTATCGCAAACACAAATGACAAAAATACTCTTTGTAATAAAATTTAAATGTGTCATAGCAGGTGTTTGACTTTTAGTGTATGATTTGGTTTTTTTCTAGTTCTAAGATGGCAACCCCACTTCCCAAAAGGGGTATGTACAGGGGGCAAGGGGAGGGACTTCTGGTGGCAAAGGTCAGGGGTTAGGGGTGGGACTCTTTGTCCCAAGATGGAGACCAGGTGGTGAGGCAACTGTCAAGGGATGGGGCTACCCATGTGACTCTTGAAAGCTCACCAAACCTTGTTAAGCAGCACTCTACCCAAAATAATTGCCCACTCTTGCGCTATCCTATGTTTACTTGTAAATCTAAAAAGCTGCTCTATAAAAGGAATCCCTGTGTAATCTATAGGGTAAAGCTCAACCAAAACTTTTTTTTAAGAAATACAACTCTGAAACGTAGGAGGAAATGTTTTGTTTTTTTTAAAGGAACTCTGAACCCTAAGTAATCCTGGACAATGATTTTATTGAGATTACTCTGATCCTGATCTATGCAATCATAGGATAAACGCAACACTACCATAAACTATCATAAATTAAGTTCTGTGGTAGCCTAAAAATCTGTTAGAACAAAATACTTAATCAAATACTTATTTTTAAATAGAAAAAAGGAAAGGAAGCTAGACAAAATGTGTCAGTGCTGGACTGAAGTTTTAATTTTAGCAATATTTTTTAAAAGGCCGAACTTTCTGATCTCAGTAAGGATCAGAAACAAGATAAAACAGGTTTATTCCAAACAGAGAAATAAGAAAAAAGAAAAAAAAAATTAAGGCTCTAATTTTCTTCTCAAAAAGACTGGTATAACTTGGAGATAAAATAGTTTTACACTTTTTGATCAAGAAATAGGAGAGAGATTTAGGGCTGGATCACCAAAGGCATATAGCTGCCTAGCTTTCTATTGATTTTCATGGGATGTTACATTTATAAATACTTTTGAGGATCTGGGCTTTAGTGCCCAGAGGTATTAGAAAGTGCTATGAAGCAGCAGACCAGGAACAAATTCCTCTTGCTTCTCAAGATGAGACATGCTGGGAATGAAAGCAACAGATGTGGAATGCTACAGGAGGAGGGGGGGAACATTAATTTCATGCTGCGCAACAGCATTAAATGATGCCCTAGGCCAAAGGATGAATAAATGTGGTGACTGGACGTGTCTACCTAAGTAGTGAAATCCTTAGGAGTGAAAGCAGGGAAAACCTGTATAAATTTACATTTTCAACCAGACACTAGATTCATAAAACAACCAAGTTCAAATCTCCCATCTGAAAGAGACTGGCTACTCACAACTACGCACATATGGAGGTAAGGAAAGACTGTTTCTGTATTACTGAAACAGACAAAAAAAGTCAAAAGTGAAGGTTGTGAAAACCTAGTTGTAGGCATGGTAATCAAAACCAGGGAATCAAAAGGTCAGCAAGATTTGTCCCAGCAAGCAGATACTTTGCCTTGCTCATTTCCTGCCTGCTTTTTAAAGAAAAATGTAGCTGAATTTTGCACATTAGTAAAAATGCATTTGAATAGCAGAACTGCAGAACAGAACCACATCCCAAGTAATATGGGGGAGGAGAGAGAAACGGTTAATCCAACATTAGCCTTCTGCCTGACTTCAGACTTAACATAACTACCTTTTCTCTATTAACGTTTAAACGATAGTTCCACCAGTCAGAAAATAGAGGGTTAATATTCCCATGAAAACCTGAACACTGCCCCCTTGTGTGTATATATCAAAGTAAACGAAGAAAGCTCCCATTAAAGGAAGTTCTTGCTATAGTTGCTAGATCATGAATACCGAATGCCAGGCCTTTTTTGCTGCTCCAGAAAGTCTTTAAAATGTCTATAAGGTACAGCCTTAAAATAAAATAAAATAACAAACCCAACCTGAATCAAAATATGTAGGAAATATTACACTAGATAAAATGTTATAAAGTCCCATTATTTTTATTTTTGTTCCTTTAAAGATGGTAACATCAGACCTCTTCGCAGCGAATGCCTCAAACTTCTTGTCCCCTTTCAGCAAGGACCAGATTGAGGCCATGGACAGGTATTACATTTATGTCAGGAAATACACTCTTTTCCCAATACAAAAAGTGCTGGAAAAAGACACTATGATTCTGCCACAAACTATTACAACCTTTGGTGCAGAGTGAAGCTTCCTAGCACCACATGTAATGCCTATTTAGTTTCCCATAACAAGACAGGGAGCCCTAGGACCCCCAGTGTCTCAGTCTTCCACTCTCCCTCCCCTTGTGCAAGGTGGATGGAAGGAGGAAGGGAATATGACTCCCTGATGGCCTGCCCAGTGGAAAACTATCAAAGACTTGCTGAGACCCTACTGCTGCAGCTGCTTGAACAGTCTTCACTCTCTCTGGGACTGTCCAAGTGGTGGGACCAGTTCCTGCTGCCTCTTGAACAGTCCTGGAAAATCCCAAGGTTGTTCAAGTGGTGGTGGGAGTTCCCTCACCCTAACCTTCAGAGCAGTGAAGAGGGCTGGCATGGGATGGGCTTTTGACTAGCATTAGGGAATTCCCACTACCACTGCAAGAGCCCTGGCAAGAAATGGTAGAAATGTTTTCCTGGAAATGTTCAGTACTGTAATTGAATTTGTCCATACTCTGGGAGACTTCACCCAGTAAGAGAGATGCTACTATGAGTCACTGCATAGTTATGCTCCACTGGGAAGGAACTGTAACTCTGAGTCACAACTCCTTCTCTTTTTGCCCCTTGCTGTGTCACAGGAAGATACGGAGAAGAAAGGGAATGTTTCTTTGCCACTCCCTTCCCTTAAATGGGACAGATTTATTCTACTCCTACACTTGTTCAACTCCACTGGCTGGAAGAGGAAACAATCAGCACCATAAGGGACAGTTATTATCTTACCCTACATGATTCTACTCTTTTAAACTTCAATAGTTATGCGCATGTGATATTGTGCAGCATAAAATGATAAAAATTAAAAATTTGCCACAACTTTGTTCTTTACTTGATCGTGATACTTGCTAATGGTATATTTTAAATATTAAGTTGTTAAACCAAACTAAGCTTATTAAAAAGCACAGAAAATCTAATGGTATTCTAGAATCCAGACAAATCTGATCAGGACTTCTTTGATCAGCCTTTTTTCAGTTGAGGATAGCAGTTTTATTTCCAGAGAAATTTGCAGGAACTGTGTAATTGGCATAGTCAGTTCTGAAGAGATTACAATCAGGTAACAATATTACCAACTTGTTGTGTGCTGATCATAAACAAATTGACAAAACAAAACAATCTGTGAAAATCTTTTCAGCATTTTATAGTCATTTTCCTCAAGCAATTAATTCTCTTGAACTTTACTACTGCTGTTCTTTAAGTCCTAGAATAAAATCCTTTGTGTAATATATCACATGTATTGTTTATATCATAATTTCTATACCACTCCAACAACCTGCACCATTAACCGACTCAGCTACTGGTTTTTTTGTTATACAAATTGTCAGATGTCTCTTGGGTTTGCAAGTATTCTGCCACTGGTCAGATTCAATAAGGGTGTAAAACTGATGGGCTGCTATCTACTTATTTCAGGTCACTAGATGTGTGTCAACTGAAGCAAAAAAACTCCAAGGTCAGTTACAAAGACCAAATATGGTCTTAGTTCAAATTCCTACTATGAATTTATATCCAGTGCTAACAGTGAACCAGGGATATTTAGGATGTTAGAAAAAAAGATGAACTGTTTGAACTGTCATTCAAACTAGCTTCATCTAGGTCTTAATTCAGAAAAGTACTTAAGGCTTTAACTGTGTTCTTAAATACCATGCCATATGAGGAGACTTAAGCAAATGATTTAATTTAAGCAACTGCTTAAATTTTTTGCTGAACAGATGAAGTCAAGTCCAGTCCAGTCTCAAAGCTGCTGTGACTGTTGGGGCACCTTAGATACTATAACAACCCTCCTCCACTCTGAGGCTAGTTGAGTTGCTTTGCATCATTGGTGATTCTTCAGGCAAAATGACCTGGTAGCGCCCATTTCCTTTCCAGGTACGGATGTCTGTTGGCTCAAAGGGAGCTTATCCGCTCTTTGACAGGTCTTATTTTTAGTCCTGCTGAGTGTCTTACACACCCTCCTCACCCAGGCTAGCCCAGGTTGGGGTGCCAGTTTAGTTGCTGACAACCTGACTGTGGAACAGGCTTTACTGATTTACGTGGTACCAGGTAACATGTCTCAGACTTTGCACAGGGTGAAAACCTGGTCCTATCGACTTACATGGGGTCAGAATTTCAGCTACAGTTTTCTCTCTCTCTCTCTCATTACTTATCTGCCCTATGCACAAGCCAAAGTCAAGCATCAGTAGCAGTATGTCTTGTACATTTAAAAAATACTTCCTGAATCTATAATTCTGGATGCTGCTTGGCCTACATGTTCCCAGATATACCTCTTGTCTTTTTTATTTAAGTGTGAACCAGGATATTGTTCTCTTTTTACAACTGTTAAAAATTGTTAAAAATTCAATTTTCTTCTATTGCCAGTATGCATTTCACCAACTTCTATTTCAGTCTAAAAGGAACACCATAAACAAAATATCAAGAAACAACAAAACCAGGAAAGGTCAAGGATTCAGTTATTAAAAAGGGAAGTTCAGTTACACTATTTCTGTTTTTATATTCATACTC